AAAGTGCAACTGTCAAATGTTCTGCCTGCAATTATTGGAGACCACAAAATTCATTATTTTATTCCATGTGTATTTTCTTCGTTAAGCGGATGATTAATTCGTTCAACAGCATTTTAGTCTGCCAATTATCCAAATTGACATCTGGCTAATAAAAAAAATTATGATTAAAAAAAAAAAAAAACCCCAATCTGTCGGGCCTAAATCTGAATACTCGAGAGACGAGAAGAGCAAGTGAAGCTGGGCGCCTGTATGGCGTTTTGGACCAGCGTATCCTTTCATCGTCCCGGATGACCTTTTCTGACCCCGCGCGATCGTTGTGTCCTCCCAGGTTTCTGGTCCAGTTCAAGCAGGACAAAGTGGGGCGCCATGTTTCTTTTTGAGCAGTGATGATGTTGGCCTTGAAAAATGGGATGCATTTACTGCTCGAATTGTTCCATAGCTCTAATTTTATTCCGAATTTTAAAAGTAAATATTTTTTAAAAGTTGCAGACATTCACAAGTTGCAAAGGAATGACCAGTTTGAAGCTTTACTCATCTCGCCAAGACAAAGACAAACTTAAGCAGGAGCTCAGGCGCCACCACAGCTCTAACACTTTGTGCCATTTTTGGTGGCCGAGAAAACGTGCCACAGAAATTTGGGTTCATCGGCGTCGGAAGACGGGAAAATAATTGGTTGCGAGCGGCGGCGCTCGCTCTGCCTGGATGTGGACAGCGGTAAGATAAGCAAGTCGGAGCCCCGACTGGCCCTCGACTCGTCCGCTTTTAAGCCGCCTCAAGCGGCTCGGCTTAAAAGGCGCGATGACGTGTGGGAGCTGTTGGGTCCACAACTTGAAAATACTGCACTTGCTTTTATACTTTGATAGAACCAAAAAAAAAAAAAAAAGATTGTAAGCCGTGTTTTCTGGCTACTGCCTGAAAAGAAAAAAACGATGTGGGCTGTTGAATTGTGAGATTGTTGTACAACTTGTTTTGATTTTTAAATTCATAATTCCGATGTGCCAATGACTTGTCATGTGTTGGTGTACACGCAGAGAAATGCAGAGATGGGCCCCCTCGTACTTATTATAATTATCATTGCCAAAGAAAAAATAATAATAATAATTTGGAGATGGGGACCGTAATCGGCATGTGATTAATTCTTTATTTAATTTTTTTTTCCTCTCTACTATAGCCAGTGTGATCCATGCCAAGCTTTTATTTAATCTGCAACAGTACAAAAGCGATGATAAACTACCAAGAATCATGAGATGGTACCTCAACGTTCCGAGCTGGCTTGATTCCACTTCCGGGCTTTTCCGTTTCTCCTGTGCAATATAAGTTTGTTTGGTGTTTTTTTTTTCTCTCTCTCTCTCTCTCTCTCTGTCAGCTAAGCAGTAGGGCGCGGCCTTAAGCTGTGTGGCCTTTGCATGGACTCTCATCCTCGGATATCCTCATTTGTACAACTTTGTGAAATTGCAGCTTTTCCAGCTATATCTTGAGCAATTTTCTTTTTTTCTTCTTTGCAGAGAATAACCAAACGCTGAGCACATGTATGATGATGTGTTTGAGGAATTGCAGGGCGTTTGATCAGGTTTTTTTTTTTTTTTTGTTCCCAGCTTTTCGGGGAATATGATATTCAACAAAAGGAGTTGTTGACGTGATTATTGATATTTACCGGTGAGGAAAAAAATCCCCTTTAACGGGGGAATGTGCTTCAGTGGAGTCGTGTTTCAAAGTACCTCTGGTTTGTGGTGTGTACTTTTCAATGTCACCTATGACACTGAGACTACTGCTTGCGAACACTTGTTCCTTTTTTGGGACGTGCAGTTTCAATGCACCTTTTTGCTTACTCACATTTTCTTCCCTCGGTGTCTTGTGGCTTACAGCAGCTTTTGTGCCTAACATGAAGAAAACAAAACTATTTGTTTCCTGAGACAGAACACAGAAATGTTCCAATGTAACAGATACAATCAATCTTTTTTTTTTTTTAATGAAATAAAGATCAGTCATAAATAAAGGTTAGCATGGCGATGTTTTCTTTCCGTGCTGTAATTTATGGCAGCGCTGGATGTCGTTTTCCCTCACTGTACATGAGGGACCGTAAATTATTGCTGAATGATGGATGGCCTTTCTGGATTGTTTGGCAGCGTTTGCTCCTGGCAGAACTGTTTAAAATGCATTCTCACAGTATTAGTAAAACGGCGCATTTGTTTATAATAGTTTGCAAAATTCTTTTCTTTTAGAAGTGATGCATTTTCAACCTGGTTTCAATAGTTATGGGGGGGGGGTTGTTTGTTTTTTGAGAATTTAAAATCATGGCTTTCCTTCCCAACCATTTTTCACTGGTGCAAAGTAGAGTCAACGCACTAAGAAAAAAAAATGTTTATTTCTAAAAACTCTGTATTTTGCTGTAGTTCCATTTTTGGAAGTTATCTTTTCAATCAAAAGTTTGTATTTAACTATTTTTCAGTATTTTAGTCAAATGATGAATGAAAGTATTTTCTAGAAGCTGAATATTTTCCACGCAGTTTTCGATTTTTTTTTAATTTAAACCTTTCTAGAAGTGATTCTGTTTTTATTTAGAGAGTAAATTTGCAGTAGCTGAAAGTTAAGATCCTTAAAAGGCGATTTTCTACAGAATAGAGAAGGATTTTTTCCCCCCAGTAAATCTCAAGACAAAAGCCAATTCTAGTGAGATCTCGCGAGAAGTCTGCTTTTTCCATCATTCTCATCTCCGTTTTTGAGACACTTCAAAGCTTTCTGCACGCTACCTCTCCTCGTACACAGTTCAAAATCGTCCGATTGTTCCTTCTCGCATTCCTGTGAGGCCGCCTCTGGTTTTATTTATGAGCCGTGTATCAACAAAACGGGGGTCCGGACAACTCAGACCGGACCTTGTAGTCCGGCGTCCGTCCAGATGTTTTCCATCACATCTGGGACGACTTGTCCAGGGTTACATTCCGTGGTTTGCGAAGCCCCGGCGGCAGCGGGTCTCCGGGGAGCGGCCCTTTAGATTGAGCTAAAAATAGCACAGCAACCATTTTGGGCTGCGCGAAGAACTAGTTCCCACCGTCGAGGAGGTCTGGGAAAGGAAGGAGACCCGGCCGGCCTCCCGCCACCCCACGCCTGGATCGTCGAAACCGAGTGAGAGCTCATTGGGACGGTCCCGCTGCGATCTAAAACGCAAGGACCACGCGAAGGGGAACGGTTTCCTCGGGGGCGGTTCTGTCGAACCCAGAAGAGGTCTGAAGGAGCGTGGGTGGATGCTAAATTACTCTGAATGATTCGGTGGTCTTTGGCGGCACCGTGTGGAGATTGACATTACTGTTTAAAAAAAAAACTGTAAACCCCGTAATTTATGAGTACCCACGGTGACGTCACCCGAATTTGTACGCGTATGCCACGAACGCCGCAGTCAGGCCATGATAACCGTTAAATATTTTAATGGAAAAAAATGTCGAGGCCATAAATGTCAAACAATTACACGAACGACTGCGTATTCTTGCCCATACGCGGAAGCCAGTTCAACCGAGCGGTTCGTAACCTTGAAGCGTCGTGTATTCGTTTCGTGTTCAGGTTCGAGCCGTTTTCATAACATTACGACATAGCCGCTAGGGGGCGCCATGTTTCTTTTTGAGCAGTGATGATGTTGGCCTTGAAAAATGGGATGCATTTACTGCTCGAATTGTTCCATAGCTCTAATTTTATTCCGAATTTTAAAAGTAAATATTTTTTAAAAGTTGCAGACATTCACAAGTTGCAAAGGAATGACCAGTTTGAAGCTTTACTCATCTCGCCAAGACAAAGACAAACTTAAGCAGGTTACACTCATACCGATTTTTCTTTTTTAAAATGTGAGCGACCCCACTCACGTCACCACACGTACAAGGAGACCTCCACTGACAATTGTGAATCTCCTACCCCAAACCAGATGTCACTGGAAGTACCAAGACAGTCCTGTGAGAGGCAGCACAGTGCCACAAAGCATCTAGACTGCAAAATAGTTTAACTACTGATCAAAACAACAGTGGCGCTCAATCTTTTTAGAACAAATATCCCCTCAAAAAGAAGTCTCAGCTGTCTAGCATTCAAATGCAGTCGCGCAGTACGTCCTAAATACAGGTGACCCATAGGTGTGGCATTGTTGTAACATCCCAAAGGTTATTTGGACACAGTTGACCGACAATACTCAGAGGCATGTATTATTTATTCTCTGTGAAGAACTAATATTACTGCAGCTTACTGAGCACTAACCATCTCCATGTTCATCACTATTTGTGTAATTCTTTGCTTGCTGTTTAGTTTGACAATGACCTCCACTTGGTCATGGCATTGTAAGTGCGGCTGTCTGGAGGGAGGGCCATGAGGCTGCAAGGACTTTGATTAATGATTGCAATTGGGTGGAGCAGAATTTGTGTGCCCACTCGCCCTCGTGCCACCAATGGCTTCATCAATTTGTAGCCATTATCACGTCAATATAGGCCAGAAAAGAGGAAGGAGGGGAATTAGGGGTTAAGGGGCGGGGTTAAAAAGAAAAATGGGGAAAAGAAGACCCCTTCTGCACCATCTGTTGATTGTGAACCAAAAAAAAAAAAAAAACAAGCCAAGAAAAGCCTGCTAGAACAGCTGAACTTATCTGCAAGAAAGCTCAGCAAAGAGCAAAACAGGGGCTCTAAGATTGAACCCTGTGGAGCGCCACAAGACTCTAAATGAATGATATGAATTTTTGTCTATTTTGTGCCCTGTAATTGTAGAAAATCTGTGAACCGATTAGCATTGTTTGCATCATTATACTCAAATTAAAGACGGAAATTGGTGATCAGACACCTTTTTTTTCCCCAGTCCTGAACGCAGGGTTTTCTCGGCAACATTACCAAATGTCAAACCCTGCTTGGTGTTGATATAGACTGCTAACAAACAAGGATTTGCAACTTTGCCCCACCTACTCTGCATGATTGGCTACTGTCTGAATTGACAGGCTGTAAATCACAATCACCGTGAACTAAACCTACACTTCTCCCTCATGTGACCTTTCATTCTTGTTAACAACATGACGCACCCCTCCTCACTTGAAGTACCGGTACGCATGTTGTTCTGTCCGGACTCATGAGGTGCTGGCGGACCATGAAGAGGAGTCGAAACGCAATCTTGAGATGAGAGGTGCTATGCCTCCATCTTTTGAGGTGGCGATAAAGTGTTACGGTTCACCACGTACGCAATCGCCCGCACGTCACATTTGATTAAAGCCAGCACGCATGAATTGGTGGGCGTGGCCGTGCACCGTGCGGCTAATTGGACTGCCTCCACGATGACACGGTGGAGAGAATGATGAGGATTCAATGTAAATAGAAGGAGGGATACACAAAGAAGGATGGGCTAAATAATGAGCTAAAGGTTTCGAGTTATGAACAGGTCGAGAAAAAAAAAAAAAGACGAACGCCGCAGTCAGGCCATGATAACCGTTAAATATTTTAATGGAAAAAAATGTCGAGGCCATAAATGTCAAACAATTACACGAACGACTGCGTATTCTTGCCCATACGCGGAAGCCAGTTAAAGCCAGCGGTTCGTAACCTTGAAGCGTCGTGTATTCGTCTCGTGCTCAGGTTCGAGCCGTTTTCATAACATTACGACATAGCCGCTAGATTTGATTCCTCAGCTGGGCTAACCCAATGTTCAAACATGCATTTTGTGATGCAGAGAACCAGTGCGGGCTAACTCCGTGTTTGCCATTTTGGAGGCTGCGATCCAATTTATAGCTCTGTGATTTAGTTGGAAATTATGACTTGCCCCGAATTCCTAATTTCTAGGAATTTTGGGCTCGGATCATATTGTGGGCTTGCGAACAACCTCATTCATCCGGGTCATTTCTTTCTCGGTGCATTGACTCTCTCTCTCTCTCTTTCTCTCTGCACGTCACGCTGTGAGCTGTAAAATGTAGCGAAAAGCCTACTAGAACATCTTGGTGTTAAAAAAACGTTTTGAAATTATTATTTATTGATATCACAAAAGCTGTCATCTGAACAGGTGCGTTTTGACTTTTTCAATCCGGCGTACTCGTTGTCGGGCCTCATGTCCTCATGTAAGGATGACCATTTGAAGTAATTACGCGATGCCGGCCGGCCACATCGCCGTGGGTGTCCCAAAGAGCAACAGATGTTGAACTACTCTCCGCTGGCCCATTTTTTTTAATGTGATGAGCAGCCCTACGTGTGTCTGAGCCCTCCCCTCATTCGCACGGGCCCCTGTTTAGGACTAATTAGCTACGTCCCCCCCGGCCCAAACTCCTTCTGCACTCTTGTCTTCCGACCCGCGGGTCTTATCTCATTGTACTGTCGTCTCATTGTTCGCCGTGCTAAGTAATAATCATCCAAGCTCAGCTCCTGGGCCTCTGCTCCTCCTCTGCTCCTCCCTCCTTGTTCTCCTCATTATGTCCCGGCCTCCGCCATGACAAATGTCATTAATCAACTCCTTTCTGAAACACGATGAACCTTGCAACCCGTAACACCCACCCCTCGCCTTTGCTGGTACAGGAAGTATTCTTTTCCCCAGGCGTTGCGTTAGGGCAATCGGAAAAAACTCGGAAATCCCACAATGCAGGCTGTACTATTCTCACGCCTTAATGTCTCAGCGCAGGTTTGGTCGCCGGACTGAATTGATGCTCGGAAGAGCGTTGCGCTCAAAATGAGTCGAGTGGCCTCGAGTAACCTTTATTGCACCGTCCGTGGTAACGGTGTCCATGTTCGTGGCTCAATTTGAACAATTTTGCCACGGCAGGCAGAACGGTGACCGCCACCAACACACACACACACACACACACACACACACACACACACACACACACACACACACACACACACACACACACACCCACATGTTTTGGTGTATAGAGGCCATAAATGTCAAACAATTACACGAACGACTGCGTATTCTTGCCCATACGCGGAAGCCAGTTAAAGCCAGCGGTTCGTAACCTTGAAGCGTCGTGTATTCGTTTCGTGTTCAGGTTCGAGCCGTTTTCA